CAAGTATGCTGCGCCATCCTGGAAAGCACCCGCGGGAGCTTCTTGGAAGGGAGAGCTGAAGACCGGTGCTTTACAAGACGCATAATATGGCTGTGGTTGTCAAAACCAATGGGATCCCATTTTGGGGTAGGTGCACCACCCATTTTAGAACCTATTTTAGCGGGGATTGGGATGCTCATTGGGGGGTACGGGATTTTGACCCATGGCCATATAAGGGTTTCTGGTTTGTCCAATTGCAATAGGAAACCCCGCGAAGGGAGGTGTCTCTTTGGTTTCCCGTTGAAACCAACCTAACCAGGTTTCCCCAAAAAACGACACACCCATATCTTCATGTCGCGGGCCTCTGATTTGGGCTTGGCTCCTTTGCAGGGGTGGCCTCTAACTGCCCTGAAGAGATGTTCGGTCCTTGTCCACATTAAACACGCAGGGCCCTATGGGCTTGCCCCAGCGGTAGCCGGTTGCAGCGTCCACCACGTGCACGCGCACCAGCGGTGAAACTGTAGATGTACATAAAGCACCTGAGTCATTTTGTTTGCACCCGTCCCGTGACTAAAGCCCTTGCTAATCGGGGAGTGCCATTTCAGACGGGGTCAAACAAACTTTTGGGTGAGCGTCGGCGAAGGCTTCCGCAGAAGCCTTTAGTCCCAAGAGGGTCAACTCATGAAATTGAGCCTTGCTACTAAATAGCTTGGAAGCGGATGTCATTACTGTGGAACCTTTGAAAAGAAACGCGGGCCTTCGACCAAGTTCCTCTCCTCGCTCTTAATCCCCCCACCTCCTGAGCACATTGGTGTTCTCCCCTTTGCTTCACATAGAGACTCCAGCTGGGAACGTTCCTTCTTGGCTCTCCTCCTTCAAGTTTGCTCAAACGCTATGCTGATGGCTGGGACCCCACTCACAAAGAAGCTTTGAAAGCTATGATGGCTGGGAACCACCCTTTGCCTTGACCTCCCTCCGCGGCTTTGCGATTCTCAGAAGCGCGCCCTCCACTCGATGGATTGCTAGTCGCAGCTGGGTGCCTGGATGGACGGAGCGGTTGGTTGCTTCAGCGATCACTTCGCTGGTTCCATGAGCCGTGGTCTGAATATGCCATTTCCTTCAAAACAACATGGGGAACATGTGTGAATCCGCCGGGAAATTTAGTGAGTCTCATGTCCCTCCAACCCTTTTTTTTGTTCCCCCGTACCTTAGGGTGCCCCATCTTTTGGCAGGTGGGATGGTTTCGACCTTACTCGCTATTGCATCATGAAATCAATCAAGAAATCCCCAATTCAACTGGCCAACCGGTTTTGGGCAGCTTCGGAGTTGGCTTTGGACATCCCTTGCCTTCCCCCGAAGCCCACGCATCCGCAACGTCGTCTCTGTCGGTGCAAGAGATCAACATGATTAGAGCTTGGCCCAGTTATAGAATGTATATTTATTTATATTCTATATATATATATATATTATGGTTTGCTTCACTTTGAGTCACTGGTAAAATACGTAAAATGTGTCCCAAGTCTACCCCAGTCAAGGCGCTGGAAGGAAAATCCACCGCACCCGAAAGTGAAGATCCGCGACGAACCTCTGCCCAAACCGATGCCCTGCTAAAAAGAAGAAGCTTCTAGCGGGTGAAACCTGGAAACTGCCACGAAACCTGCTAACAAGCTATAAGACTAAGGAACCAACTGGCTGGGAGCTACCTGGTCTTTCAATGGAAATGACCACTTCTGTGATACAACAAAGGGCATCCAAAAGACTAACCCCCCCTTTAAAGGGGGAGATTCCCTTGTATCCCAGAAATGGCGGTAAACCTCTTGATCCCACAACCCTCGGGGCCAACGGTTCCAATGGGCAGCACGAGTTGCACATAGCAACGGAGACCCAAGACCCCCCGGCCTCCGCGCTCTGCTTCGGGCGGGGGTTTGGGACCCGGCGCTGGCCCTTCCGGGGGCCTCAGATCCCAAACAAAAAAAACGCGGCCCGCGTTTTAAGCGACACGTGGCCATGGTCCCCATGACGGAAACCACGGGGAGCCATTTTCGGTATTTATGTTGGGGAATACATCCATGCATGGTCATGGTTCCACTCAATAATTGCAGTGGATGGACACAAAACAAACATTCGCATGTAAGAATGAAACTATGGTTGACACCAGTAGGTTTGTTGGTATGTACGTTGGGGAATCATACATCATTCCAGGGTTTCTGCACAGTGGTGCGAAATGGAATTCGGTTATTCACAGTAGGAACCCTCGCAAAGGCCCGCAAAGGATGTCATGCCCTACTTGTTCACCAGCCAGCAGTTTCAACCATCGAGCAATGAATTGCTGGTTCGCGTGGGAATGGTTCGCACGGTCATCAGAAGCTTAAGGCTTCTGGCTTCAAATCATTCACAAACCAAACTGGGCGGAACAGGGGGGCAAAACATGGCAACGCCATTCTGGAACATATTCAAAGCTAAACTTGATTGACGTGGGGAGCAGAGCAAACATTCTCAAAATTTAGCAGTTAAGTGGTTGGATTTCAACCACTCAACCACAATAAGCCAAAAATGCAAAATGTGTCCAAGCAACAACCATCTAAAGCAAGCGTCAAAGAATCGCCCTCCTTGCTCAGGCAGCCACCAAAATGGGCTCAAAAACGTGATCGAGTCGTGACATCAAACGGCTCTCACCAAAAAATGACCCCATGAACGTGAGCGGTTGAACACGGGATGCTTGCGTGAGCTCGGGATTTTGTAGGGGTTGATGGAGACCCTTCCTTCTAAGATCCCATGTGGTACTGCAAGCTAGCAAGAGCAGGATACTATGGTGGTCTATTATACGACCGCACCATCACACGTTTGTTTTGTAACAAGGCATTATCTGCAAAAGACAAGTCATATTAATCTCATCTTTCAACACGAGCCTTCTAAACAAGGTTTGCTGGTAGTAGGGTAATGTCCAGTTCGTTTTCCGACAAAGCTAAGTTGACCCAAATGGTCTATCTGTCTCAGCCAGGCTTTCGGACACGAAACGAATGATCAGCAAAGTGTCCAGTTCGTTTTCCGACAAAGCTAAGTTGACCCAAATGGTCCATCTGTCTCAGCCAGGCTTTCGGACATGAAACGAATGGCCGATATTACGTGGATACTGATGGTTCAGGGGGTTGTCAAGGGAACCCGGTCGGCTGATGCTCAGAATGCCAATTCTATCCGCGGACAGACCGCTCCGCACTCACTCCTTTTATGCTGTCGGTGCCGGAAAGTTTGCCTGTTCAAAGTGCAAGCGGAAGAACGGGCGAGCCGACAAGCCCCCGGGCGAGCCGACAAGCCCCTGTTCAAAGTGCACGCGAGAGAACGGGCGGCTCAACAACCCGCTCTGCCAGGATAGCTCGGCGCCGAGCGCTTCGGGAGAGGTGGGTGGGTGAAAAACAACATAGACGCATGTGTCATGCGATCAATGAGACCGGGAACCCTTGAGCCGGAGTTGGCGCACGACCAACCCTAGGAGCAACCCCGCAAAACCCAAGTGAAAACACTCAGCAACATTCAATGGGCGCCCGTCAAACTTGGCTGGGAGATGTATCTCCATGTGCTGCTGATGTTCAAACAAGGGTCCATTTCAAATCAGAGTTCTACTCGCATGATCCATCTTTTCGATGGGCTAAAAAAGGACGTCGCAGGCAGCTGCCTGAAAGCAAGACAAGTTCCTCTCCAAGCCGCGCAGGGCCCACATCAAGAGCCAGCTGTCCCCGAAAGCCAGCGGTGGAGGGGTCATCCATGACAGTTGGAAAAGCATGCGGCAGGTGCAGGGTTGATGTGTCCAAATCGAGAAATGCTCGGTGTCATAACGTTTCCGACTCAAACCTGACAACCATTGCTTCATAATGCGAAAGCCAAGGAGTTCCACTGAGACGACTAATTGAAACACAAATGTCCTTGGGCAGTAACTGCCAATCAAGCCATCGTATGTTGCTCTTCTTAGGTTGACACACCTTCATTCAGGTGTACCATCTGCATTTTGCAAAAATCAGAATGGTTTGGCTCAGGCGCTTTGCCACACAAAGCTGGCCGGACGGATTGCCCGGGCCGAGGAACACTTCTTTGGTCCCTTTCTATGTTTGCGGCCTGCCGCGCACGGCGGCCCTGGAGCCATGAATATCATGCCAGGTTGACAACAGCTTGGGGGCGCATGAGTCTGGGGTTGGTGGTGTTGCCGGGCTATGGGGCCAATTCGGGCTCTGCTCCCTGGCATCTCTGCTAGGTCCTGCAGAGAGGTTAGAATAAGGGTAATTACCAACTTTCTTTTGTAGTCTATTTTAGTAGGGCAACCCTCCCAACCAAAAACGGGCTGAGACCTAGCTGGGGGACCTAGCAGAGGGTCTTCGGCTCCCAGGTTCTGTTTCCCATTTGAAGCCAAATCTGCCGCATGGCGCCCACCGAAAAAGCCAAGCTCCAGCTCGAGGGAAGTGACCCCCGCGCTTAGATCTCAACCCCAAAGGAAGACTCACCCCCCGCCCTTCCGCCTGCCCCTCAATTTGTACATTTCTAGCAGGAAACAATACATTTGCATAATTCTGCCTGGATCGGATTTTTGTTGCACACAGTTGGGGTTTTCTAGACACCAACGACCAAATTATCACAACAATTCGGGTCTGTACGGTTCTGAACGCTCTAGAACGACTTGCGAACGCTTTTTGAACGCATTTCAAAATGCTTCTTGGGCTGAAAGGGTTTCGAACGGCTTGGAACGGTCCCCAACCGGCAAAGCAGCACCGGACTTACATGTCTAACAGCGACCAAATTTTGCAAACGTCCCGTTTGCCGTTATATAATTGTAATAAGGGTTCGCAGGCACATCAAGTCTTTCATGGCCTCCGCGAAAAGAAAAGAAAACAGAAAAACAAGAAATCCGCATTGTGGGTTGGAAAGGGAAAGTATAATAAACCGTATTCGACGGTGCCATTCCCCTTCAACAAGCCACAAACACATGCCTCCATGCAACCCTCTTTGCAAGCCGCCTCCTTTTGCGACATTAGCTAAAAAGCGGCGTGGCATTGCCCGGCGCGCCAACCTGGCAGATTGAAAATCCTTGCTCCAGCAAGAAAGAAAACCATCAAAAATGATTCGGCACAAAAATGATGAGTCTGAAAGGGTGGTACGGCTGTTGGCATGTCCTACTACTTCGTGCTCAAACTCATAAAATGCGTAAGGCCCAAACTTGCTTGGGCTTCTGCCAGTAACGACAGCGCCCCGGCGCTGGCACGACCTGGCGAAACCATCTGTCACAGGCAAAACCATCTGCACAGCAGATTTGCATGGCCAAGCCTTGGTCCACTCCACCGTCGCCCCATTGCATCAAATGACCTGCCGCGCTTGCACCTGGACCACGTGCCTGAAGCTGCTGGTATGGCATGGCAAGTGGCTCTGGCACCGGGGCCGGGGCGGGGGATGCGCAGTGGGCTGCGGGGGCTGCGGGCACAGCTAGACCAAAGCTGGGAGATGGCGCCGAAGTCACGTAGGTTGTGCTGGGCAAGTAGGTGGCTGGAAGGTATGGCATCGCTGGCTGCGAGTAAATCGGTGGATGGTATGTGGTTGTCACCATGGCAGTAGCCCCAGTCACCACAGGTCGCGGTGAGATCACTGGCATGGCAATCGTAGTGGCCACAGGCGATGTGGGCCTTATCTGTTCGGCGGGTATGCCAAAAAACAAGCACAAACACAGATAAACAAACCCATGAACGCACGCACGAAGATACGACGCACCACACACAACAACACGCACAGACACACAAACAAGTTTTAACCACCACCCCCCACCCACACACACAAAGCGAACACATACAAATACACACACAACAAAAAACAAACAAACACACAAGTGACAAAAAAACCAACACCCCCACACGCATACACAAACAAACAAACAAACAAGCTACGCCAAGCCAAGCCACGCCACGCCAAGCCAAGCAAGCAAGGAAGCAAGCAAACACACACACACACACACACACACACACCCATCCGCATGCGCATACAACACACAAACACACGCAAGCGCTTACACACACAAATACACACGCAAACAAAACACAACTTACACAACCACCCAAAACAAACAAACAAACAAACAAACAAACAAACAAACAAACAAACAAACACACAAACAAACAAACAAACAAACAAACAAACAAACAAACAAACAAGCAAACCAGCAAGCAAGCACCCACGCACACACACACAACCAACCAAACAATCAAGCAAGCAAGCAAGCAAGCAAACAAACAAACAAACTCCCACAAACATGCGCAACCACGAGCAAACAAACGCAGGGAAACGCAAACACACGGAAACAGTCACAAGCACACGCAACCACACCTCACACAACCACAGACCCACAGACCCACAGACCCACAGACCCACAGCCCCAAACAGGCACATGCACACGCGTTTGCGCAACGCACTTGTCATTCAAACATGCACAACCGTATGTGAATTGTTTTTGCCAAGCCTTGCACAGGGAAAAAAATCCTTACCCGTCTCCAGATTTCCTGACAGGATTCAGAACCTTGCTGCTTGCCACCGGCACTGCTGACCTGGCCATGCAGATCATGCAATCAGAAAACACAGCTGCACACAGCTCATGCTTTGGAGTCTCAACAGAAACAGGGGTCCTTACATTATACACCTGAACATTGCAACGTGTAAATGGTGGTTTCTCTTTGTTTTGGTATGTTTTGGTGTTGAAAAAGCAACATGTCTCAAATGGTTGGAAAATGGAGATCTTTTAAGGAGCCTGAGAAAGGGTGTACGCGCTATGCCAGAGAATATCTCCCCTTTCCGGCAGCATCTCTCGCCTCACAGGGCTGGCGGCACGCCGCGTTGGGCTAGCAGGCGCTGGTCTGAGGTGGTTGTCGCGTCGAATGACCGAGCTGGACCTCGGTTGCAAAGCGACCAAGTCCTCTGGTTTCCCCCCTAAAAAGATTGTCTGAACTCACTCAGCTTACCCCCTTCGTTGCCATGGGAGGGGGAGGGCTTCAAGCAAAATTGTCTGAGTTCGCTTACCCCCGGGTACCTGGAAGATCAATTTCTGAAATTGTCTGAAAATCACTCAGTAACCCCCCTTGCCCACGTTGCCATGGCAGGGGGAGGGTACCTGGAAGATCAACTTCCTCTTGGAGGGACCGGGTCCCTGTCAGATGCCACGGCAACGTGGGAAAGAGGATACGTGTCCCTCCTTCTATGCCAACCCATTCTATCCCCTTTTCTGTTCTTGGGTGACCTTCATCATCATTACTACTATCATTAGTTATTGTGTCATTATGAGTATTGTGATTCTATTATAATGATTATGAATTGTTATCATTATTGTTCTTATTGTTATTATGACTATTATTATTATTACTATTAATATTATCATTAGTATTATTATTATTATTATTATTATTATTATTATTATTATTATTACTATTACTATTACTATTCATATTATCATTATGATTATTATTTTTCACCTGCTGTCCTGCACATGGACTAGTAAAGTGCCCCAAATTTTATTCTGAGAAGCCTTACTAAGAAATCTTAAAGCCGAGTTTTACATCTTGCGAAGGTTCAAGAGCTGATCCACACCCAGACAGAGCTCTCGCAAGTTCGATCAAGGGAGTTTCGGCGGGAGCTCGTGGCAAAAGGGGAATCTGACCCCTGAACATGTGTCCTCCTTTCGAATCGCATTTGATGGACCACCCCAAAAACAAAGGAAAAACATGAACCACCCCAAAAACACAAAGAAACAACACACAGGCCTCCCCTGAACAAACCCACCCCTTTTTCTTGGGCACCGAGTTAAGCCATCACTTCGTGCGTGACTTTGAGCATGGAAAAAAATAAGGCCACCCAGAGGCTCCTGGGGCTTTCAATGTTAGACACCCCGCTTCGGTGGTTGGGGGTCTCAAAACCAGGTTGTTTGAAGGCCCTACATGGGTGTGGCTCAAAATTAAACAGCAGGGGTTACGCAGGTTTTGGTCCATGTTTCCACTTACCAGGGCTGATTTTGGTACCGTTTTTGAGCCACAGCCACATCAATCGGGAGCCTCTAGTCCAGGCCGCTCTGTCGAGAGGTGGTGGCGGTCCGCCCCGGCCGCCGCCGCCAGCGAGGCTTCCACGGCGCCCCAGGGCCGGTGGCTGCGCAGCCAAACGTCACCTACGCCGAACGGCGCCGTAAAAATGGGTCGCTCCGCTTTTGTGGAGCTACTGTGGATGGACAAAATCCATTTCGCACCACCTAAGAAAGCCTGGAATGATGACTCCCCTGTAAATACCAACAAACATTGGTTGCAACCATGGGTTTCTCAGGTGGTGCGAAATGGATTTTGCAACCATCCACAGTATTACCCCTCCTTTCTAAAAGGGAAACCAAGAGGAACACGACGCATTTTGGGGTGGACGAGGGTGCATGTGTCTTAAGTGAGACTCAGACTTAGAGCTCTGGAGCTGTTCACTACGCTCGAGTTATACAAGGCACATGGTGGATTCCCTTTTGCTTGGTACTCGAAGGGACATAAAAAGGAAACCCTTGCCATGTTTGGGGATTTTGAGAAACACTCAAAGCTTCGATTCAGTGCAGACACACTGACATGTTGGTTCTTGCGGCCTTCGCCTCCCCCCTAAATTGCTGTCGAACTAACACCGTGCGCAAATCGCAAGAGCAGGCTTTATCCATCGATGTTGCAATTGGGCTCGAGGCACATTGTTTCGGAGTCACCACATCAAACATGGTCTGGTTTGATTTGCAACACACTGACCAATAAAAAACAACACATTGGTCAATGGAGGCCCCGGTGGGGGAGATTGTGCCTAACCGCCACTGAACGCCCAGCGACTCCGCAAATGCCTGATTCAGAGGCATTACACCCACGCCTTGTTGTTGGCTTAGCCTTGCTCCATTGCTGCCCTGCCTCAAACGCAAAGCAGTACGACCTAGCCTGCCAGGACAACAAAAGGGCGCTTCTGGGCGCTTTTGTGGCCGCTGCCAAGGCGGACCATATTGATTCACACATAGCCGCATAGTTTGACTTCAGATGGAATCCCTCACGCTGGAAGCTGGGTGCGTCACAAACCAAGTGTCCGAGACCTCGGCAAAAGTGACATCTCGAAAAATGTGCAGTGCCCAAAATTGCAATTTGGCATATGGAAAAAGGACTGAAACCTGCGAAACCCCAGCCAGGCACGCGCAAGATCTGCGTCGCAAAAAGGTGCGAATCTGACTCTTCTCGGTGGCTGGCCCTGTTGCCATGAGTGGCTTCTTTGGCGGCTCCTTATCCACTGTCACCTTGACCCGCAGAAGGCCTATGATGCCTGGCATTGCGGACTCTTTTTGGCAACAGCCGGGCACGTCTCAAAAAGAACGGCTTTTTGGGGTGTTGAAGAGGGAAAACCAAAAGGAAAGAAGCCATTTTGGGGGGCTTCCCCATTTTGAGACAAGCCCAGGAGTCCAGAAACGGGCCTTGGAACACGAAGTGGTCACCTGCAAGCCATGTAAGATCATGTAAGCAAATGGCAGTCGGCCGTGTCCGTCGTTGGACATGGACAGCTCTGAGTTGAAACCGAAGGGGTAGAACTGCTGACACCTCGGCGGTTTGAAAAGCGGCAGCGAACGTTCGTCCAAGCTACATTGGAGACAAGCAGCACTGACTTCTGGCGCGCAAAAACCCGTGACTTCTGGGACTCTACCAACATGTTTTTTACAAAGCTTATACAAAAATGTGATACCATGCCAAGGAATAGCATGATGTCCTTTCCTTCATCTCCGGTATCCAACCAAAACAAAAACGTTGTACTTGCAACGCAGCCGCACGGCAATCTCAACACACGCTTGTACAAATCTTACTAGTACTGTGGATGGACGACATCCTGCACCACCTTGGTTGCAACCATTGTTTGTTGGTATTTACAGTGGAATCGAACATCAGTCACATTCGACTCTCGCGAGCATGGACCCCCCTAACACTGCAAGCCAAAGAACATCCACACTGCCAACCTCTTCCGACCTCTGCCGACCTCTGCCCTTCCGGCGGGAACCCCCAAAAAAAAACCGCCAGAGGTCGCTCTCTCGACCCTTTGGGCTCCAAATCCGCTTGCACGGAGCTCTGAGGAGTCCGCCGCAGGAACGCAGAGCCTTCGAGGCCCTCCTCGCGCGTCTTCCGTGGCTGTGGGCTCGTCTCTTTTTGTGGCTCAGGTTCCCCTTGCGGAGTTGGCTTGAACGGTTGGAAAAGAAACCAAAGGAAGCTACCCTCAAGACGGGGTGGGCTGTGTGTGTGTGTGTTGTGGCTGTGTGTCTGCGTGGTTGTTCGTGCTGTGTTTGTATTTGGAAACCAAAAGGAGGACCCCAAGGCAGGGTGAGGTGTGGCGTGTGGTTCTAGGGCTACCCTTGGGCTTGGTCTACAGGGAAGCCGCTTTTGACCCATCCCCGCATTCCTCCGCGGCCACGTGGAACTCCAAGTCTTCTCCCGGGATGTAGTCCTCAATGTGCCCTTCCAGGTTCCAAACCTGAGACGGTTTCAGACTCTTCAAGCTGGAAGAAGTTCTCCAAGTGCAATGTGTCTGAACTTTGCTTGTCCTCAGACGTTTCTCACATAAAAAAAAAAAAAAAACAGTCTTGACATCTTTTAAACTGGGACAAAGTGAGACTTGCAACATCCTCTGAAAGTGCCACCCGTGTCGCTGTTGGAGAGTGCCTCTTTTATTGTGGTTTTACGTGGGAAACCAAGAGGAAACGTCTTTTTTGGGGCCTTTTGGGCGTCATTTTGTGGAGGGTGCCCCTTTTAAGTCCCCTTTTATAGTGGTTTAAAGGGAAACAACAAGGAAATCACATTTTGGGGAAGTCACCCAAAAGAAGACACACCCTTTTTGAGAAATCCACCGCCTCTGCGGCTCAGTCGACCTTGGAAAATAGTCAACCCATGGAACCCATCCCCAGGTTCCTCACGATTCAGCACCAGGTCCTCAGGTTCTGCCTGCTGTCCCTTGGATACCTATTCTATACCAACTTTTGTCTGCCGTCCATTTTGGTAGATAAACCCTCCCCCAAAAAAGGGTAAAAGGGCACTACTGGGGGGTCTCCTTCTGACCCTTAAAAAATGGTTGGTCATGACCCCACCAGTTTTTCGCGGTCATCGAGACTCCAGGCAGTAGTGAAATCGATTCCCTTCAAAGCCAACATAGAAACATCGAACGATAAGCTGGAGGCTCACGAGCGCGCTTTGCGCTCCATTCTTCGAGCCCCTAAACTTGGTTGACGTTGGGTTTGGGGAGCAACCCATCTAGATTTTTAGCAGTTAAGTGCACTTGGATTTCAACCACTCAACCACAATCAGCGCAAAAATGGGAGACATGTTTCGAAACAACATCCAACACGGTTGCGAAACCACCGAATGAAACCACCTAACGAAACCCTTGGTTGAAACCGTTGTTTGCTTCGAAACCACCTAATGAAACCCATGGGAATGAATCCGCTTTCGGAAACAAAGACCAACGCCCCTTGGCGATGGTCTCGGGGCCTCCAGGTCTCCAGGTCTCGGGACGTAAGGGGGCCAGGTGTGTCTAGGCAGGAAGAAGAGGACCCCGGCAACAAAAAAACAAACGCCGTTTCTGTCTGGTTAGTGGGAAACAAAGGGGACCCCAAAAAAGCGAAGAAGAAAAAAGGGGGAGCTAATTGTGGGGAAGGGTATGGTAGCAAAAAGAATTGTTTGCAGCCCCCCGCTACACATTATCAAAAGCAACACAACGAAACACAAACTATTCACATGGCAACAACTGTTACAAATACTTAATCCTGGCTTTCCTGTATCCAAAACCAAAGGCCCACCAATTTGAGGTCAACGCCCTTGCAGATCCACCTGGACCTCCAAAAGACCGTTGTTTTGCCTTTGACCCAAACAAATGCGGTACAAAGCCAGAAAAAAGGGGGTCTTTGCGGGGTCCAGGCAAACCAAGGGCCTTTCTTTGGACACCACTGGAAAACGTGCTTTCAGCTTCCCTCTAACTGGTGGTTTGGAGCCGAATCGGTGGCTTGCTGGTTTTCTGAAGGGGTACCCTCCACTGGAAGCAGGAAATGGTCCAAATTCCCAAACCATCAATCCAAACCACCAACTAGTAGTACCCCCTACTCCAAGTATCCACTTTTTCCTAGGGTATTTTTTGGCAAACCTGGTTTTGCAAGGTAAATACCTTTTTTAGTAGAGGGTCGACATCATACCTTAAAAGAAAGTGGGTACTTGGAGTAGGGGGTAAGCTGACACTTGGGATTGGTTTATCGGAAAAAGTCAAATGGGGTTCATGCATCCCAGCTGGCTAGCTGGTGCATAAGCCCCCTAAATCAAAATACCAAATATTTCCAGTAGTGATAGATTCCCTTTAAAACCAGCAAGGGAAAATAAAAGGCATGTTCTTAAGGAAATGGATGCAACCAAAGGGCATCACTTGCTGTTCGGTAAAGTGGCGATACTGACCGGGGCAACTTTAAGCCGCAGTTTCTGTATGAACCTTGATCGGTGCTTGGGACATCGTTTACACGCGGGAGAATCGCTACCATTCTTGAGTGTGTTCCCTTTTTTAGACTCATAGCACCTTTTGCAAGCAACCTCTGGCAACATGCCAGGCTAGCATGCCATGTTGACTATTGGCTGTAGCTGATGGTGAAAGTTGACTGTTGCTCATTTTGTCGCTCACCTCTATCACTAGTGTGCATCGATACATCGCAGCTGATTCACCCCGAACCCAAAGTCGGACTCTCTACCCTTACACCCAATACCCATTTTTTAGGGTATGATGTCAACCTTCTACTAAAAGAGGAGGTATTTACCATGGAAACCCGGGTTTTCCACAAAAAAAAGGAAACAAGTGGGTATTTGGAGTAGGGGGTAAGAAACAGTTCTCCTGGGCGACGCTTCTTTCAAAAGCGCGGCATGTGTACGACAGCTCGAAATGAAGGCTGTGCACGACCTCACCTGGCTCTGCTGTCTCCGCCCCAGCTTGCACGACCCCAGGTCAAAACTGCCCCAGATTCAAGAAAGGCAGCAAAAGCACCGTCAGTTGCCTGGATGTGCTGGACGTTCCTCAGTTGCTCCTGCACCTGGCTGCTGTCTCCGCCAAGTTGCGGATGACCCCAAGTGACAACAGCCCCAGATTCGAGAAGGGCAGCAAAAGCGCCGGCAGTTGCTTGGATGCACTGGACGTTTTTCAGCTGCTCTTGCACCTGGCTGCTGTCTCCGCCACGTTTTTGATCACCCCAGGTCACAACAGCCCCAGATGCAAGAATGGCAGCAAAAGCAGCACCGGCAGCTGCTTGGATGTGCTGGACGTTCCTCAGCTGCTCAGTCTCCTGGCTGCTGTCCATGCGACGGTGGGAATCCCCCCAGGTCACAGCAAATGCGTCGGCGGTTGCTTGGATGTACTGGACGTTTCTCAACTGCTCTTGCACCTGGCTGCTGTCTCCGCCACCGGCTGCATAACCCCAAGTGACGACAGCTCCAGATTCAAGAATGGCAGCAAATGCGCCGGCAGTTGCTTGGATGTACTGGACGTTTCTCAGCTGCTCTTGCACCTGGCTGCTGTCTCCACCACGATGTGGACTACCCCAGGTCACAACAGCCCCAGATTCAAGAATGGCAGCAAACGCACCGTCAGTTGCTTGGATGTGTTGAACGTTCCTCAGCTGCTCTTGCACCTGGCTGCTGTCTCCACCATATCCTGGAGCGCCCCAGGTCACAACAGCCCCAGATTCGAGAACGGCAGCAAATGCACTGCCAGCTGCTTGGATGTGCTGTACGTTCCTCAGTTGCTCTTGCACCTGGCTGCTGTCTCCGCCACGTTGTGGATGACCCCAGCACACCACTGCCCCAGATTCAAGAATTCCGGCAAAAGCACTTCTAGTTGCTTGGATGTGCTTGACATTCCCCAGCTGCTCTCGCACCTGGCTGCTGTCTCCACCATATCCTGGAGCGCCCCAGGTCACAACAGCCCCAGATTCGAGAACGGCAGCAAATGCACTGCCAGCTGCTTGGATGTGCTGGACGTTCCTCAGTTGCTCTTGCACCTGGCTGCTGTCTCCGCCACGTTGTGGATGACCCCAGCACACCACTGCCCCAGATTCAAGAATTCCGGCAAAAGCACTTCTAGTTGCTTGGATGTGCTTGACATTCCCCAGCTGCTCTCGCACCTGGCTGCTGTCTCCGCCAAGTTCTGGATCGCCCCAGGTCACAACCTCGTCCTCGTGGCCATGCAACGCAAATGCCTTACAAGTTGCTGCAAGTTTGGTAAACTGCACCACGGCAGCCACCGCATCCCCTCCCCGTCTTGCAATCCGGCCTCTCCCAGCGTTGCCGTCAATTCAAGCTGCCTTTCGCAGTGAGCTTCAAGCGGCGTTGAAAATGCCGCTGCGCTGCAGCCTTCAGCTCGCTGATGGGTGTAGCCGGCGAGACTTCTAAAGAAACACCATCTCCACTGGGCAAGTAAACATCCACCTTCATGGCGCAGGAATGTGTTTTTTGGTGCCAAGCTCGAGAGTAGAAGACATAACACAATTTGTCCTTTTGAATAGCCGTAGGAACGTTCTATTCATTTGCAGGAGTGTGCTTTTTTCAGGATGCCAGAAAAGATCCCTCACGTTTCAGCTGAAGCCGGAGATTCATGTCAATGGCTAAAAAAAACATGGTTCCAATTCACAGCACCTGGTCTTCACACCGTGAGCTAAAAAGTAAACAAATAAAATAAAAAATACTTGGGATTGCCTTCAGCAGTACTCAAATGACTGGTGTGCGCCTGCTGCGCCCGTTGGAGATCCAAGAACGATACTCTTCAAACAAAGGGTATCGTTCAACCAGTATTCAAATACAGTGAGAGTGAAACAAATCCGCAAAACGCGCTTGGGGTTGGCAGTATTCAAATGGGTTACCCTCCCTCCAACTAACATGGCAACTGACAGGGGCTCCCTTCAAAAGGAAATGAGCTGCCATGTTACTGGGCTGCCCTCAGATCCCCCGCTAAAAGTGACTAACTTTTAGTGGGTGAAATAGGGAAACTACCGAAGAATAGTTTGGCCACCGCGACAAGTGTACAAGTCACCAGGGCTCCAGGCAGTCTGATACCCAGCCTCAAACGCGCCACCTGTTTGCAAGTCTGCGTGCCTCCGCCTGCCACTCCAAGGCAATTTCGCAAACTTGTGACCGCCCAGGCCTCTAATGCTTTCCTCAGGGGTTTGTCTCTTAATGAGGAACCCCCGACATGATTGGCTTTTTGTTCTGGGCTTCCCCTCAAAAGCCTCAAATGATTGACTTCTGAAAATAATTGGCTTCCCAAAAAATGGTTGGCTTCCCCAAAAATGGTTGGCTTCCCAAAAAATGTTTGGTTTCCCTAAAAAATGATTGGTTTCTCCCCAAAAACTGGTTGGTTTCTCCCAAAAAAGGGGTGAACCACCAACAGCGGTCCGCGAAACACGCTCACTGACCGCGCTTTTGCGCCCTTCAAACACTCCATGCCAGGATGGCCCAGCAATGGCGCAAATGCAGGAGAAGCAGCGCCTCCGAGGAGCTTCTCAGAATGACCCCCTCGTGGTTTTTTTCAGGGACGCCCAACGGAAACCGCAGCATTTTAGGAAATTATTTGGATTGGAATCCAATTTGGAGAAACACCCACCTGGACCCGAAAGAACTACTCATAAGAAGAGGATTGGAATTCACCAAATTCCATAATTGTGGGTTGCAATACTTCCATCATTTTTAAGTTGGACATTTGGCCATGGGTCAAAATCCCGTATTCACAGTGAACATCCCAATCCCCACTAAAATAGACTAAAATGGGTGCTGCACCCACCCCAAAATGGTACCATTGGTTTTGACCCACAGCCATTTCAGGGTTTCGGTACCCTTTTTGCTGTTTGTTTCGAGTCGGAGCCGCGAGAAAAACGAGGGGGGGAAAAAAAACGCTGGCGAAAACTGTGAAGTCTGCCCAAAACCCACGGAAAATAATATCAGCAGGTCAGACATATCCGCACCTATCCGGGTAGGGCTCTAAAATCAAACAGCTGAAGGCTTCGCAGATGTAGTCTTTTGTGTCCATTTCATTTGGGCTTCCAATTTTTTGAGCCATTTTCAGCCACGGCCAGTTGGGCCCCTCTTTTTTGAGGCTACCCTGTTTTGTGGGCTTTACCGGGAACCCACCGTTGCGCTTGGTTGGAATCCCGAAGCTTCACTTGCCTCACAGAAAGCTCCAAGCCGTGGAGTCCGCGGAAGCTCTGGATGAGAACCCGCAGCCTCCAAGCGCAACTGTGAGCCACTTGCTCAAAACCGGTATTAACTCGGTTGCTTTCTGCTCCCCTGCAAAAACAATAACTTTTAGTGGTTTAGTGGAAAACCCATTAGTTGGCAAAAAGTTAAAGTCCTAACAGCCAAGCAAAATGCACCAAAGTTAAAATGGTCGTAGCCCCAGAACCAAAGTGGCTGTGGGTCATGTACCCCAAAAAGGGAACTGAGTCACTTGCCCAAAACCCGGTATTAAAATGGTCGACCCGGAACCATGCTTCAAGAACCATGAAGGCGGATATCCGCAGCTATTTTTGGTTGGGATTGTCCCTTAAGCTTCACTTACCCGGGTTTTGATTGTGACTCATGTGTGGCTGGGGTTGTCCCTTACTGCCCTCCAATCATCTCTAGATCCTGCAGAGAGGATAGAATAAGGGCACCCTTTTTCTGTAGTCTATTCCAGTAGGGGAACCCTCCCCCAAGAAAAGGGTAAAAGGGCACTACTGGGGGACCTAGATCTGGGCTTTGACTGTGCCTCAGGTTTTGTTTCGCCTCAAACCTTGAGAAGGGCGTCCCACCGCGTTCACGTGACCGAGCCGCCTCTGCGGCGCCATGTCTGCAGGGTGTGGCGCGGTCTTGGCGCCTAGCGGGTTTTCAGCCACTTGCAGGAAGAGGAGCCACGCAGGGTTGACAAAATACCGTGAAATGGATTTCGCAACCATCCACAGTAGCAACGTGACCGGCCATGGTGAGAACCCCGCTGTCCTATTTAGCCCGTGAGAGAGGGCGCCTGCACACATCCCCGCAAACGTCCCCATTGTAGCATAATTGTAGCGTCGTCCTGCCACGTCCTGCCCTGCCAAAGATCCGTACAGCAAACATCCAGGACATTTGGCAACGTGCTTCCATTCGTTGGGGTTGCCTCCTCCGAGTCAAGATGAGGGACACTCAAAAACATCCCGACAAACATGGGCCACCTTTCGAAGCATCATCACAGAAGCATGGGGACTGTCTAGAACACTCCCGCCAACACTGCCCACGCGTTTCTCACCGCCAGCGCGGTCGGATATTTTTTGTTTGGCAAACGCGTTTCTTACCGCAGACTTGTTTCTTGACGCCAACGCGTTTCTTGCCGCGACCGTGTTTCTTCCCGCGGCCGCGTTTCTTATCGCCAGCGCGTTTCTTCCTGGCAGCGCGTTTCTTTCCCCTAACGGTTTTCTTCAACAATATCTTTCTTTGAATCTCAAGTGGTGCACATAGCATGGCCAAAATCTGTCGCACCACCTGCCTCCTTTTGCCAAGCAAGCCCGCTTTGCTAGAGGTTCCGCAAAGCGGAAACTGTGGCGCTGCAAAGCGGGCACGGTGAACCTTGTTGTTCCGTTGGTGAGACCAAAAGGGCCTGCGTTCTGAGAGTTTGGTGTTTTTCGCCAAAACAGCTTGAGACTTGATTAGCCCGATTAGAGAAAGAGTCAACAAAATGAAACCTAGATCGCTGGATCGGGACTTCGAAGATATTCTGAGGCTTGCACTGGCAGCCTCCAGTCTTGCTCTTGCTCCCCCATCTTGCGTCAAGAAACGCTGGTGTGGATGCTCTCTTCGACTCACGGCCTCAGTCAATCTCACAGGGTGGCCTAAACGTCCCTTTAAACATCACCATTTGCTTCAATCTCAAGTGAGTTAAGGATTGTTTTTGTTGGCCTGTCGTTCTTTATTCCGAGTTTGACGCCAAGTAACCGTTGCGGGGAACCAAGAAGATGTATCAAACACCGGCGGCAGTTCCAGGTCCCGCGTTTTTGACGCGCAAGGCTGGGGGGATTTCACAGGTCTGAGTTGCCAGCTCGCCTTTCCCCGTGACAAACCACCTCGGGAGATCGAAGTGCCCAGCCAAGCTACCCTGTCCACTTCCCGCACACGCACACATTAAACAAGCAAAAACAGGCACACAAACAAACGAACACATGAACACACACACACACACACACTTGAACTCCAGATGGAGAGTGCTAATCTTTCGAGTACAACTGATGAGTTTCGAGTACAACTGATGAGTCTCGAGTATGGTGAGCTTCGACTCGCACATCACTCAGCTTCACTCTAGTTACTTGAACAGGGGCACACAAAAGCAACGGCGGTTCAGGGGGGGGACCAAAAGGACATTCACAAACATCACAATTGCAGGTACGTCCAGCTGATCAGGCTGGATATCACGAGTTAACAGCGAGCGTCTTCGTTCGCTGAAACTCCCTGCGCCCCCTGCTGCAGCGGAAAAAGGTTGTGGTGGCAGGGTATTCTGCCACTCCGCACACACACGCCCCTCAATGAGGGGCGAGGTTTCTCTTTTTCTGCAGGAAGATCACATGCTCCAACCCGAGTCTCTATCGTTGACCAAAATATCCACCACGGCGAGGGGAGCGAGACACAGCCCTAAACCGCTCAGAAGACGGGAACGATAGATCACCACGTTGAGCGTTACGAATGTCGCCATAGAGGACTGAAGCGAGTTGCGAAGCAGCCTGGCGATCACCATGGGAAAACGGGGTGGCGTAGGTGAACGTCTCCTCAATTGGAACGGCATCGGAGTTCCGAACTTGAGCAAGAGATTGATCATGCGGATAATGAGTTGCGAAGGACTCCATCCGAGACAGAATACGCTGGTATCCCTGATGCTGCCAGTCGCGGATGTTCCACGCCTGGACATGCTCATTGGGATCAGTCACCCGCTGCCATTCCCGAAAAGAATTTTCAGGTAGATCAGGTACAGTGTCACCGCGGTGCCATCGCTGAGGCTGTCCTGGAGTGTATATCCGCACCCACTCCTGTTCCTGCCAGACCGAGTATTCGAGCCATGGGTGCTGCTTCGAATCATCGATGTCCATGTCGAAGTGAGAGGCAAGGATTGTCGCGGGCTCCGATCCAGCTGATAGAGGAACAGGCACCATGCACAACCATGTACAAGCAACAACCAAGCAAGATCATGCAAATGTAAAGACCACCCTTATTTTGTACGCTGTGCCACTCGTGCGAGTCTAGTCCTCAGTCAGCTCGAAGATGGGACTCGCCTTGTCCCTGTCGCTGTCGGAAGGATTCACGGGCCGGTAGGGCTCGGAGACCCCAACCGTTTCCGATGGTGTGTTTCCACGCGATGCACGTACTGGTTGATGAGGTTGGGAAGCGTGACGTGCGCGAGCTGTCAGTTGTTGAGAAATCCCCTCTTGGAGACGAGTCAGTTCTTCGGTAGAGAAATCAGCCGCATCCGAGGACCTGAGAATCGCTTCTAACAGCTGCGGTGACATACTCAATGCCGCAGACTGCGTGGCCACGCTGTGATGATCAGGAAAATACATGGAATCAAATTCATGACCAGCTTGAGGGGCAGCGACTCTCCGATAGCCCTCTGTGGCCCAGTCTCGTTTGTACCACATGGTGACTTGGACCTGCCCACCGACTGAGTCCTGGTTGGGAGCATAGAACTCCCTCCATTCTCTGTAAGTGTGCGGAGGAGGTGGAGCATCATGTTCTTCATGTGGTGTCCATGATCCCGGATGAAAGATCTTGACCCACTGGGCATCTGGTTGTTGAGGGTCCGGACACCATTCCAGCCACGCCATGACAACGCAACCCCGGAAAGACAAATTGATAGGTGTACGGCTGCAGACAACAATGAGTGAAAGCGAAACAACTGCCACAATGCAAGAAACCACTTTTGCAGCACTGCACGGCTCCGGTATCGAAGACAATCTCCCGAATCGAATTGAACTGAACAGACTCCCCAGGAAGGCGAGGACGAGCATCAGCCATCATCTGAGTTGGAGGATGCCGATGAAGAGGTCAGTCCAGCATACATGAGGTCCGGTGCGCCCGAAGCGAAAACTGGCCGCGCGATGCTAGGGCGTGGACGACCCAGACGTTGGTATCCCCTGGTGACCCAGTCTCTGTAATACCAAGTATAGAAGGATGCATAAGATACCGGTTGCGAAGCAGCGCCTGTATTGGTGCCGCCTGTGCTTTCCCTAGGCCAATACACTTCGAAGTGGTGGACCTTGCGCCATTCCCGATAGGTGGTTGAGTCATCCGGGGCCGGTCCCAAGGTGTTCGCGGCGACTGGATGCCACGGACCCGGCACATAGATCCGAATCCATTCTACACTCGTGTTTGCTAGCCCATTGACGATGTCGTAGTCAAAGTAGCGAGGCAGGACCCATCGTGCTGCACCATACACTGTACAATTGAACATTTCAACCCGACAAGCCGCTCGAAGTCATAAAGGAAAGCGGCGAACAAATGGAGACGGAACGCACACCACCAAGCAAGACAACCCAACATGGATTCTCATACAAAGCAAGCACAACCGCATCATTTATCCGACATGCTACTCAAGTGTCACTCCGAATCGTTCCAAGGATCATAGAATGGTGGCGGCGACGGCTCTCGCCACGCCCCATCCGGCACCGATGAGCCCACCGAGGAATTGGCGTCTGCATTCACGAGCATCGCGAGTCCAATGGCTGGTACAGGAGCTCCAAGTCGTTGATACCCTCGTGTTTGCCAGTCTCGGTACTCCCACACGTGGTAAGACACATAGGAACTGGGCGTGACTATGGGATCCGTTGTTGTGCCTCCGGTGCTGTCTTCGGACCAGTACACTTGGAAGCGATATGACCTGCGCCACTCCCGATACGTGGAAGCGTGGAGTGGGTCCAGTACTGGAGCATCATCGGGAACGGGTCTCCAAATGCCCGGAGAGTAAATTCGAATCCATTCCACTCCTCTGTCGATCTGGTACTCGAAATACTGAGGATTCATAGCGGCAAGACAGGCTCTCGCGCGGCCGCTAAAAGCAATCGAAAGTCTGCGGCAAAGACACACATGCAATGACAACCGTGCACAGCTGCTGGAGAGTGAAGCAATTTTTCAAAATCAAGGTGAAACACAGCAACGAGGTTTGTAATATCCGACTCCTAGGCTTCACCGCCGTTGATGTCGCGCACACCTGCAATGGTAGTGTCCTGGTCGTCTACGATCACAAGGGGAAAGACATTTCCGCCCATGGCGCAGGATGGCATGACAGTAATGTTTGCAAGTTGCCGATGGGGACAGCGATGGACGGCCAGCACGTTTGGAGGGGAACACTGTAAAGGGCCGTCGAGATCGCCGCGGTGCCGAAGCGGATGCTGTCCGAGATCGTTTGGACGAGCGCCCTGGACTGCGTAGTTCTTCATCACGGGAATGGTCAGTGCTGTAGATCGAGCGGCGTGTGCGCTGCGATTTCGAAGAGGTAGGGCAGGATTGTCCGCGAGGGGCTGAGATCGAGGGGCTGCGTACCGAGGGCATAAACTGTGGGTGTAGAATCACCGGTGGTGGTGGTGGTGGCGGAGGAGGAGGTGGAAGAAGCAATGGGAAACTTGGCGGGGGCGGAGGTGACGTAGTCTGCCGAATGGGTCTGTCAAGTAAGGCCCCGGGTCCGTGAAATTGTAACCACGTCGGCTGTGCTCCATGGGTCCAGGTAATGTACGTCTGTACAACTTGTTCCGACATGATTTGAGCAACTCAGTCATGAACTCACTTCACGTCAACGGCAACACCCAAAAAACGGCAAGCAATATTTCCAAGGAAAATGTAAGTCACGTGCAAGCAAGCAAATCTCATGTGATCAATAACACGAGCCGAACACGCCGCCTACTATTTAGTCCTCCGGTGGTCGCTGTTGCATGTGACGACCGCGTTCCTAGCCGCGAGCCTCAAGTTGCTGATAGACCTTCCATGCCTGCTTGACTTCCTCAATGGGCTTCTGAAGGAACCGAGCAATGGTCTTATAGGTGGGCCTGGAATCCTTGTCTTTCTTCCGTCGCACCATCTCATCCAGCTCACCCTGTGTCCATGCCGTGAAAGGTTCACGGTATGCATTGCGAAGTGCAATGGTGAATTCTTGTAGAAGTTCCCGAGGACCATGAACCACCGTAGGAGACGGCCGGAACGACGAGGCACCTGGATGTGGACGCACCGAGCCATCAGAATCCGAGTCAGGTGTCGTAGGCGTCATCTGTCCTGGCTCTCGGCCACCGTGTGTGGCGAAGGGAGCAAGTGGACGAGGTGGTGGCAGGTGATCCAACATCGATTCAGGCCGAGGACCAGAATTGTTGTCAGTAGCATCCCGATGTGCCGCACGAGGCGGGGATAAGGCCGGTATGTACCAGGTGGATGACGTGTCCAAAGGTCGGGCTCGAATTCGAGTCGGAGAACGGGATCGGTCAGACGAAATGCGCTCTGTGATGATGCGGGGCCGCAGCCCATGTCTGGAGTTCCGTGGTGCCCTGGGAGTCACTGTAGTATCTGACGGATGGCTACGCTCAGTCATCAGGGCAAAGTTCAGGGTGTCCAGAGCTGTCGCAACTTGGGATGCAAGGACATTGAGTACCGCCACCAGGTTATTCACAAACTCGGCTGACAACTGCATGGCAACCGAACAAACAGCAAGGTCAACTCAAGCAAGTAAGGCTGCGGTACGGCCAAGACATGATGCTTGCAGACATGCATGTAGCAAAATACTGAGGTACTTTTATCGCTGGTGCTCCGTCACCGTTCATACGACAGACCTGATGGTCGGTAAGCCGGCATGGCCTTGACCGCCGGCGGATACTTCGGAGTGTAAGCATGGCGGCGGGACGTGGGAACCGCATCATCGGGACGGTCTGGGAGCCGTCGGTGATGGCTGCGGGAACGTCTCCGGTGCGGCTCTCGATGCCTAGATCTTCGCCTTCGTCTGTGTTCCCAAGAGGTGCTGACACTCACCGTGCGTACGTGAGCAGGGTGCTCCGTACGGTTGTCCGAGGTGGCCACGAGAGTGACCGGTGCTGCCATGTAG